TCTGAGGCTTCGTTAACGAGATATTAACAGAAAACCCCGACCAATGAGTGCTAGACAGTCGCAGGCACTCCACCCGCCAGTGATGCCACATTTGGCTCCCAGTCGTGCATACGCACTGGTTCTAGCGTCAAAGTATCTAACATGACCATAAAACTGTCGCCCTTATTCGTCCCAAAGAAAAATAGAATTATAAATGAAAATTGGAAGTACTTAGCATGCAATAATATTAATTGCGAGGATGAATGATAACATAGGGATAGACGTTGAAATAATTTTACAGACAAAAAACATTTTTTATAATTAAAAAAACGATTTTCCTGGTTTTGGCGCCAGCTGTTCCTATGAAATCATAGTATCATAGAAATCATAATCATATATCATTCGTTATTTTCTATAACTACAGCATCGCACTCGCACCGCAGTGAGCATACTCACTAAGGAAGAATTGTTTGAAATCACCCCCCGAACCACCCTTTTCAAAGACCTCCAACATTTTTGGGGCACCCTGTATAATTCTATAAGCGGCTCCCGGAGGTATGATGCATTTTCAACGTGACCTGCAAAATCATTTGGCTTGGCCACCCCTCGGATAAACTTAAGATTCCGTTGATATTGCACAACTGTAATTCTTTTTCTCCTTAAACTGATTGTACTCGAGCTATCTCGGATGAAATATTTGAAAAAATAGCAAAATAGTTCATTCTTATCTGGGTTAACAGCCTGCTTATCATAGAAGTTGCGTGGGTAACAAGCGGTATTTTGCTACATCGTGTAAGATTATAACTGAGACGAGATAATCTCCTTTCATACGACCATCGGAAATGCTAATCGAAAAACTGTTGAACGTAATATTGTTTAATCGTTGTGCTATTACATACGCCGGTGGATGTGCTGTTATTTCGAGGTGAACGTACGTTGTGCGACTAATTGATGGCAGGTCATCGAATCAAATCACGGGATTTTCTTGAGAAAGATCGAACGAGGAAACGGTACACTTCCCTCCTTTTCACCATGGATCCCGTAAAAACACAGTTAGGGTTTTGCGTAGATCGGATGGCTTCACGCTGAGTTTTGCGCCTTCGATCGTCAATTTTTTGATTGCCGATAAAATAATGTTCGTATGGTTGCGACATCGAAAGCTGATTCCATCGACGCGTCGTTGAGAACAGGCTTCTGATCGTTCTTTGATAAACCGTGAACAAACGGCACGTAATAGTGCGTATTCACCGCCGAGTGGATTTCTTTAGATTCTCGTATCGTAAAAAGTTACTACGGTCATTCTTTGATTCTCAACGCATTGTCGGAACAGAGCACGGAAACTCTAGTTTGTTGGCTCGAGAAAAAAAAACTTGAAAGAATTTAATTCTATATTTATGCTTTATAGAAAAAGTCAAGAAGTCAATCGAAAAAAAATAATTAAAGATGGAAAATAATTTTAAACGAAGATGTTGAGAGGTATTTACTAGACTCCCTTGGTAGAAATAGCACCAAACTCAATTCTGTATGTATGCTTTATAGAAAAAGTCAAGATGTCAATCGAAGAAAAGTAATTAAACATGGAAAACAATTTGAAATGAAGATGTTGAGAGGTTGACTGGACTCCTTTGGTAGAAATAGCACCAAACTCATTCTATTGCAGAATTTTTAGGATATTTAAATCTAGAAAATAAATTTCTGCTCTTTCTGCCTTTATCTAACGTAATTAACGTGACAATCGTAACGAGAATCTCGTTACGAGATCTCTTGAAACGAGTTTCGCTTAAATCGGCGCGTGCCCCGCGCGTTATCAAGATCGAGTATCTCGAAAAGGTAGTCTCCTAGAAGAAATCTTCATCCTACTTTGTCGATTCGTTTTTTATCGAGAAATCGAGCTATTTCCGCATCAGAAATTACATAACACCCTGTATATTACGTAGCTTTTGACAAAGAAAATTTCTAGTTTTTCTTCTCTTTAATATTGCAATTGGTACGAAACAGTTGCAAAATGATAAACGTCACGCAAGAAATATCGTGCTCTTTTCTGAAAACTATTATGCACTTATACAGTTATGCTTCAGAGCTTGAAAATAAAAGTCTAACGGTACGGATAGCAAGCCTTTCACAACGAAGATCGTTGCATCGAAGAGATCGTCATCTCTACACTTTCAAGGAGAATCCTTTTAGCGAAACTGAAAAGGTGATCGCTCGCTGATATTTTTAGTCCGATTACGAGACGAAAATTCTTACGAACCGCGGGTTATTAAACTCTGAGTTAGCGGCTCGAAACGTGGTCCGCATCGCTAATGATAAATTACCGTACGACGCTCGAGGAGCGAAAGACGGTTGCTCGATAAGAATCGATTCTAATCGAACCGTTGCTGTGTGTCGTCCGATCGAACATCGGACACCAACACATCGCGCTTCGTGAGAATAAAAGGTGCCAACTGTTTGCAATTGATCGACGATAGGTACCGTTATGCCATTCACACTCCTGAAGAATGACGACCGAGTCGAACTTTGTCATGAGATTTACAGTTAAATGGAACAGGAACTCGTCGGTTTGGTCAATACGTGAACCGATACGTCGGCAAAACTTTATTTTGGATTGCGCTTTAATAGTTTGTTGATATTGGAATAATTTTTAATACATCGCTCCTTGTATGTATATACGTATACATATACATTATTCGATACGTATAGATATAACATTTTCTATTTTTATTTTTAAATATATATACATTGTATTTAAATGTAATAACATTATTATATAAATATTTATACATATGAGAATGAAGCCCTGACTGATTACAATCAATGTCCAGGCTAAACCCTTGAACCTAGAAAGCTAAAATTTTGCACAGAGGTTTTCTTTATGATGTATACAAGGAATAAGAAAGGACATTTCGAAATTCAACTCCTAAGAGAGTAAAAAGAGGTTGCAATGTTGGTATTCTACGCGGGTGAAATCACCGGATGCAGCTAGTTTAAAAATAAAAATAGAAAATTTTCATTTATAACCCATTCACTGCGGGACGATCTTTGGTAGAAATTCCAAGTGACGTAGAGGTCTGAATTTAAAAAATATATCAGTTTATAGGAAATGATAAGACGGAACTTTTTTATAATTACAGTTTATTCATAAGACGTTTAGTCTCTAAAATAGAAATTAAGAACGTAGAAGACCATTTTTTCTATGAATTCAATTACATTTGAAATAGTGAAAATGAAAGCATGGTTAGTTGACAATTACTTATTTGTCGATATATTGAAAAATATTACCTCATAGAGGATGACAAGACGAAACTTTTATATATTTACAGTTTGTTCATAGGACGTTTAGTTTCAGAGATAAGAATTAAAAATCTTAGAAGACCTTTCTCCTGAAATTCAATTTTTCCAACGAACTTTTAACTTTTCAATTTTTATTTCCATAACTAAGCATTCTATGAATAAACTGTGAATATAAAAAAGTTTCTTCTCATCGTCCCTTATAAGCTGATATTTTTTTTTAAATCGATTTAACGAATACAAACATTTCTCGGAGCTTATCTCTGGAGATCGTATATATACGCCCTCCGCAGTCAAAGGGATAATTGTATGGAATACACGTATATCCGATTTTTTAATTAGAAATAAAAATACACATGATTACGGGTAAATGTGACAGATGGTCTCGTATACATGTCTCCCATCACAACGCAACAAGTACATTTTATTATTTAAAATAAAAATCCTAATTATTACAGAATAATTATTACAAGATTTAATTATTACAGAAAACAGAGCGAGGTGTCTACGCTTATAATTATGTATTGGTCGATAGAATACGATATTATAAAGAAAAAGAAAATCGTGCAACAATATTTACAGTAAACCCCGGTTGTATAAAATTAAAACGAGTATGCTCGGTTTCATACGACCAGCGAAGGTAACGTTTCTATTCCACGAGTTGACCTTTCAGCTCGAATCGAAGTCAAGCTTCGAACGTGTCGCTCAATGAGGAGAGTGAATGGGATTCATCGGGAAGTGATCCGATGAGTCATTCGCTATGTAGCTCGAATACGAACTTGTCTGGATTATTTTTAATTATATATCATTGGAAGTATTCTTCTTTTTTTACCAATTACGCGACTTCTTTTAAAATAAATTATTGTATCGTTTTGTATGAAATTCTCATAACTAGGAAATGTGAGAAATGAACAAATACTACTTATACAATTCGGTATATACCGATACATACAATTATTAGTTTCAACACTAAACCTACCACGACCGGTTAAATTGCCGTTTCCAAACTTTTGTATACAGTTTATATATAGAATATATAAATCATACACAATTTTTGTATGTATTATTGGACTTAGCATCACGTGAAACCTTTTTGCATTCAATTGAAAAGTGTGTTTTTAAGCCTGGTCATGTGTTTGATCACATTAGGAATAAGTAGAAAAATGCGAAATCAAACAAACATAGCCAACATTCCAGTTCGACAAATCAACGGTAACCTTGTTATTTAAATATTTGCAATCGATAATTAAAAAGGAGTAACCGTTTTGTTGAAAATATATATATATATATATATATATATATATATATATATTAGCATTCTATAATGCGAAAATAAATAAAAGAAAACATTAAAGGTGACGAACTTTCAACGGTAACGAGGAAGACGATACATGATTTGACTAGTTAGTCGACGACATATGGTCTGTGCAAACATACGTGAATAGAGAGCGCTCAGTTAATTTTTATTTCGCCAATTTTTCTTTCATTTTTGTATTCAACTTCACACAATATATATAATAATTGTTTCTTATTCAAGTCCATTATTCATTGTTCATTATTAATCTTTCAATACAAAGATTTTTCAATTTCAAAACGTTTATTCCTGACCTGATATGTAATAATGCACAACTCCTTGCTTCTAAGCGTAGAATAACTACACAGAGATTAAATAAACTTGCCCATCCAGTAGCGTTTAACCACAACTAAAGACGTCTTTTATTTTAAATTTGCAGCAACCGCAGCGATAGCGAGCACCGTGCAGATCGAGTGCGCGAGCGAATCGATAATCGTTCACATCTCGACGGAGGGTAACATTGATTTCCATGGTCTGGTGTATCCGAGGGGTCTGTCGAAGAACAGTTCTTGTCTCCAAGAGTACAGGAGCCAACCCACCCCTATAACATACAACCTACCCCTCAGGTCTTGCAACACCATGCCCACCGAACTGGTAAGTGCTGAAGAAACACGTTATTGGTGATGGGGTATAATGAAATAATAAAATACTAATTTTATTAATTAAAATTCTTTATGAGGAGATGATCAAGACTAACAGACAAACGTTATAAATAAAGATAGAAAGAATTTTTAGCACATCTGATTAGGCTCTAGGAAATTATAGGAAGGGTCCTCAATGGCTCTTGAGAGGGCAGGTCATATTCTAAACTTTCTCTTTTCTTATTCTGTACGTATATATTGTATTGTCCGTTGCTCATGAGTTGGCGAGGCAGCTACGACGACACTCTACTCACACGTATTTTCGGTATTGGCCGAGTCAGTCACATTTACAAAGCTACCGCGTGACAGATCACTATTCAGGCGTTAGAATACGACTGTGCAGTAGAAATGGCGTGAACTGCTACTTTTGAATCACTCGTGATTCAATCACGTTCATTCTCAATCACGATGATTTTTCACAGTGATTCGTGATTCTTCGTGATCGTTTCCGATTGGTAAAGAACATTCTTTTCATTTTTCACGAATTCTGTTGTTCTCAGATTATATATGTATTATAATATGGTCTAAAAGCAATATTAATATAATTTTAATAGAATTTAAATTTGACTCGTTTGTAGTTTCTTGAATTTCCGCTAAGAGGAGACAGCGAGACACTAACGATAACAATTAACATGAACCGCTTCTGAAACGCCATCTTCTAGACCACGGTTGTGATTGTGTGATTACCGTGAAAAATTACTGTTAGTGATTTTTCACGCCATCCTTACTGCGCAGTGTGACTGCTCGTAAAAAAGGGGAACCCTGGGGAGGTTTAGGCGGAGCGAGCGTAATCCTCTGTCCCCTCAGTCCTCTCAAGTTCATCGGTGCTTCGTCAACTCCTGAGCAACGGTCAATACATACATTCTCAGTAAATTTATTTTTGTAGTGAAATAAAAGGTTGAATTATAGTAAATATTCCAACACGCGTGAAAATCCAACCTTTCTGCGTACCGTGACAACGAGCGATCGGTAATCCGACGGGATCGAACCTGTACAGTATACAAGCATCGAACCGTGATAATCACAAACAGATCGGCCGTATTATAACTTATTACCCTGATCGATGAGACGAAATTACCGCACGAATCGCGTGTTTCGTGCCCCAGCGCTGGTAGGCGTAGCTCGGGGTTCGCTTCAATATGGTTTAACCGAGCTATTAGCTTCTCACTTGGTTGCTCAATTTCTGGACGCACGTCGATGGCGATAATTGCGACCGCTTGTTGCGCGATAGAGGCTAGCTCCGAACTGTTGTCTAAGCTAATGACGGTTGATCGTCGGTTAGACCTTCGATCGAAGAGTTCAGCCTCCGATGAAAATTGCCGGGGAGACTATTGCCACCTACGGTGTTCAATTTCGTTTAATTGGGCTTCCGCAGCATTCGATTTTACTTAGGACAAGTGCGATTCTCCAGTTATCCGTTGAATGATCTTTCTTTTCAATGTGTTATTAGATAATGGGATAGGTTAAGAGAATAAATTCGAATTCGTTTGATTGGGCTTTCGCAGCAATCGTCCGAGTTTACTTAGGACACGTGCAATTCTCTAGTTCTCCGTTGAATGATCTTTCTTTTCAATGTGATATTAGATTATGGGATAGGTTAAGAAAATATATTCTTAGTCTGCAAGTCTTTATATTTTATCCTTTATTTCTTGGACGCAGAAGGACGTCTTTTCGCCTAAAGGTTCAAACTAAAAGTGAAATTTTTTTCCAAAGCACATAGGAAAACCGGCGCTTACGTCGTAGAAGAAAAATAAGGCTTGGGTCTTCCACATGTTTTTCACACTGCTCTCTTGAATACAAATACTGCCAAAGGTCTTAGACTTCGAGTCGCCAGGGGCCCGAAGTATCCAACACTAACAATAAGACGAAGGGTGCGGTCTAGGTCGCGAGTAAACAATCGATTCCTCAAAAAGGAAATTCGTCGGATCGCCAAAAGTGGCGGGAACTCGACGTACCGGTAACCGCGTGGAACGTGCGCGACGTGACATCACATGATCGCGTGGTGTTACACAACAGAGCCGCGAAAGAAGAAGAGCGTAAGCACCGCGGTGCACGCCGTGCCGCGGCATTGAGGCACGAGGAAGCTCGATCGGCGATCACGATCGCTCATGCGACTCGACGTGTACACACGTACCGTACGCCGCGCGAAAAAACTCGTGGAGGCGTGAATGCACGCGCTGGTACACGCCAACGAGAGAGAAAGAGGGAAAGAGTGGAAACGAAAGAGGCTCGAGAAGACGATGCAGAAGGCAGAAGGCGGATGGAAGAGGAGGCGATTACCAGGAAGAAAAAGAAGGAAAGAAGGGAAATACGCCGGTGGTAGAGGAGGGCAGGTTCGTGTAACGAGGGAATCGTGTGTCGAGGCGAGAGATCGCTTCCTCGCCATACCATAACTGGACCGTTATGTGACCGGACTTACGGCCTTCTTCTTACGAGGCTTTACGAGAGAGATGTGTAGTATGCCAGCAGCAGCAACGGCTAATGCAGCTACGCCTTATGTCAGCGATACATACAGCGACCGTGCACACTGCACACTGCACACTGCACACGCGTGCTCGTGTCCTTAACGGATCGCTGCTTCACTGGTTCCTTCCATTGCCCGATAATGAACTGCCGGATCACGATTCCGAGCAGAACGCCAGATACCAACCGCTGATGCATCTGCTTGCTCGCGTTTCGAAATTCTTTTCGAGACTCGTCGCTCCACAGCGGTGCTCGCATCGGTACGGTATCGATATCGTTCATGACACGTACAGTAAGGAGCAAAATTGAATCACTCGCACCTTTGGAAAGTAGTTTTTATTATTCAAGCTCTCCAACGTTGAGTAATGGAATTTTTTGTAATTAATTATTTTATTGAAACCATAGAGTATTAACCCTTTGACTGTGGATAGCGTATATGTATACCTTCGAGAAATGGGCGCAGAGAAATGTTTATATTCGTTAAATCGATTTTTTTAAAAATATCAGCTTATAGGGGATGATGTGATGAGACTTTTTTGTATTTACAATTTATTCATAGGACGCTTACTTTCGAAAATAAAAACTGAAAAGTTAGACGTTCATTGCAAATATTGAATTTCAAGAAAAAAGCTGTTTCGAGTTTCCAATTTTTATCTTTGCAACTAAACGTCCTATGAATAAACTATACAGATAAAAAAGTTTCATTTTGCCATTCTTTGTAAGCTTATATTTTTTTTAAATTCAATTGTTCAACTGTTGTTTCGTTTTTCTTGAATACAACAATAACAGGATCAGACTACAACGAGATCTCAAGAATAAGATCTTTCAAGTTTTTAATTTTTATCTTTGGCACTAAACGTCTTATAAATAAAGTATAAGCATAAAAAAGTTTGTATATTTACATATCAGCTTGTATATTTACAGTTTATTCATAGGACGCTTAGTTTCGAAAAGAAAAATTGAAAAGTTAGACGTTCGTTGCAAGAATTGAATTTCAAGAAAAAAGCTCTTCTGAGTTTTCAATTTTTATGTTTGAAACTAAATGTCCTATGAATAAACTTTAAATATAAGAAGCTTCGTTTTGTCTTAATGTGTTCTATCTAAACATAGAAAGAGTTATTAAATAATCCAATATTAAATGCCATTACTAAAACGGGACCACGTTTGTCACTTTGAAATTGGTTAAAAAATCAATAGAAATGATTGTTGTTGTTATTCTATATGTATTAATACCAAATATACATAAAATTATAATTAACGAATGCATTTTTGATTTCCTTAAAGTTCGCTTTTGAAGTTCGTTGCTAAAATTGAATTTCAAGCAAAAGCTCTTTCAAGTTTTTAATTTTCATTATTGAAACTAAATATCGTACGAATGAACTGTAAATATAAAAAAGTTTCGTTTTGTCATTCTTTATAAGGTGATATTTTTTTTAAATTCACACCACTACGCCTATTAGAATTTTTCTGTCAAAAATCGTCCCACGCTCAAAGGGTTAGCGAATATAAGTATTGGAACTTGATAAATATAACGAAAAAACACGAGAAACATTGATAATTGTGTCCCGAGTAGAAGATTGGAAAGATCATCAAACTAACGTACGCATCCGCTTTCTCCGGACGAATGCACGCGTTCGTAGCACACGAATGATTAAGTAACTCGTAAGAAAGAAAAATCAACGTTGACAATTCTGTCATTAAAACCTCAAGAATTTTCCTCTATTTTATAATTTATAGAATATCCTCTACCTTGACTACAATAACAAAAATTGAAAGAACGAGTCGATCCAGCAACAACGTGTCTTTATTGTCGCCCAATATCTTGTACACAAAACTCGTTAATTAATTCTTACACTTACGATTATAAATTTCTTCTTGATCTTAAAACTACGATCATACAGTATAATTTCAAAGTGAAAAAGTGTTGCAAGTAACCCCATTTGATGTTACCAGCGATATTCTTCCGATTCGCCACGATCGTTTTTCAAGATTCGTTTGATTAGCGCGCTCCAAGCGTTCCGTGAAATGCTAAATCGCTTCGAGGGATGAACGGCTTTTCATCGTTCGATGAATATTTTATTTTCCCGTTGGCGGTCCGCGAATCCTTTGATTGGTATCGCGGCAGACCACAACATCCGCAAAACCCCACCCACGGTCGAGCGTTCGAGCATTTCGTAAATCGATAAAGCATTCGGAGCAGGGTTGAAACTTTTTTCGAATTTTGTATCGCACCGTTGGTCTGGGCAGGGCAACGCCCACGAGCAAGAAACGCGGAAGAGGCAATTACGCGAGCTGCGGTATCTCCCTCTGCTCGGCTATGTTCCCGTAATGCGTATTTACGGGACGCTGAATCCCTAAACGGACCGTTCCGAGTTCAATCGTATCTCGACAATGGCTGCAGACATCGCAACGCGGTCAAGGTATTGTATAGTATACCTTGGCGTAGCGACAAATCTCTCTTTGGATATTTTATTTATCGAGTGATGAACT